CCCGGATCCTGGGGCCTCCCCCCCCCAGGACCAGCTCTTCGCCCCAAGCCGCTGCCTGGCAGACCCGGGGCCCGTGCAGGGCCCCGGCAGCCCTCCCCCGAGAGAAGGAGAAAACCTCGGGGCCCGTGTCCTTCAGGACCCGCCCCCCCCCCTGGCAAACGTTTACGCCCGCCGCCTTCCGCCGAGTTTCCGCCCGCTTCCGGCCGGCGGGCCCCGCGGCCGCTCTGCTGCCGCCCAAGCCTCCGCCAGTGGCAGGGGGGGGGGGGGGCCGAAGACGAGGCCCTTGCCGGAGCGCTCTGGCTGGGGACAGCCTGGCGCAGGGAGTGGCCCAAGGGCAGCGGGCCAGCCTGGACCTCTGGCGGCTCGGTTGCTGCAACCCTGGCGCTCGACCAAGTATGTCGGCCTCACGAGACCGTGGTCCCACCCAGGGACCGTCGGCATGGCTCTGGGGGCGGAACTCTGCTCCGCGGGGGAGGGGTCCAGACCACTGGGCGCCCTGGGATTAGATAAAACAGACTGCCAGAAATCAAGAAAGATGGCGCCCTTCAGTGCAGGCACTGCGTGTGAGCAAAGGATCCTCGTCCCCAGTGCCACGAACACGCCTGGCCCTCTGCTCCACTCCTCCCCCTCCCCCCCCACACAGACACCCACACCGTTTGCGGCTCGAATCTACTCCCCTCCTCCAGTTCCCCCGTCTCCTTTCGCCTCCTCGCCCTGTCCTCCCCTCCTTCCCCTCGTAACGCTCCCCCTCCCCTCCTCTCCCCCCTCCCTTCGTCCACATCCTCTCCTCTACTCTCCTCCTCCTCCTCCTCCTCCTCCTCCTCCTCCTCCTCTTCTCCTCCTCCTCCTCCTCCTCCTCCTCCTACTCCTCCTCCTCCTCCTCCTCCTCCTCCTCCTCCTCCTCCTCCTCCTCCTCAGTCTCCTCAGCAGCAGCAGCAGCAGCATCATCATCATCATCATCATCATCATCATCATCATCATCATCCCACACCACCACCACCACCACCATCATCATCATCATCATCACATCATCATCATCAGCATCATCATCATCATCATCATCATCATCATCATCATCATCATCATCATCATCATCATCATCATCATCATCATCACATCGTGTTCATCATCATCATCATCATCATCATCATCATCATCATCATCATCATCATCATCATCATCATCATCATCATCATCATCATCATCATCATCATCATCATCATCATCATCATCATCATCATCATCATCATCATCATCATCATCATCATCATCATCATCATCATCATCATCATCATCATCGCATCATCCCTCCTCCTCCTTTTCCTCCTCCTCCTATTCCTCCTCCTGCTCCTCCATATCCTCCTCCTCCGCCTCCTCCTTCTCCTTCTCCTCCTCATCCTCCTCGTCCTGCTCCTCCTCCTCCTCCTCCTCCGCCTCCTCCTCCTCCTCCGCCTCCTCCTGCTCCTCTTCCTCCTCCTCCTCCTCCATATCCTCCTCCTGCTCCTCCGCCTCCTCCTCCATATCCTCCTCCTTTTCCTCCTCCTCCTCTTCCTCCTTTTCCTCCTCTTCCTTCTCCTCCTCCTCCTCGTTTCATTATTCGTATAAAGTTTAGTATTAATTAATAGTTCTACTATTAGTATTGATAGTGTGGTTATTCGTCTTAGCGTGAGTATTCTCATTAGTGGTGCAATGATTATGCTTGCTATTATTCATAGAATGAGTACCCCTAGCATGTTCCGCAGCATGATTCGTATGATTAGTCGTCGTCCTCTTATGCTTAACAAAATGGCATTAATCGTCGTCATCATAGTAGCATTGATCGTATGCGCCGTGTTATGGGTATTATGTTGATTTGTACTAGTAGTATGTGCAGTCATATTGATTTTACTGATTATCATGATCGGTGTGTGTGTGATATCATTGACGGCAGTGTTAGCCATGTTCGTGGTAGTGTTATATTCGGTAGTGCCACTAGTATTATTATGAAGATGTAAATTAATATGATTAGTACTATTACTAATACATGGCCGTGGCACAAGTATTATGCGGTCTTCATTCAACATGACTCAAGACTGGCGGAGTAAACGGAGTGGGCGGAGTAGAAATTACTCCGCGTGGACATGCATCCCGCTCCATTTTTCATATAGGAATGGGCGGAGTAATTTCCGATCCTGTTTTGAGATAACAAAGCTATTAATTAGAGGTAGACGAATTACTCCGCGGGATCGCGGAGGACGCATGTCAATGTTAGGAATATTCAGAGGGATAGGAGATTCCAACATATCATAAAACCGCATAGTATTTTGTCACGGCGGTGTATTGGTGTGATTGCTCACATTAGTACTATCGGTAATCTCCTAAGTCGCCTCCTGATTATGGTTAGTACTATTCCTCTTCGTGATATTAATCATATTTCTCTCTTAACCATATAGTTAACCTTATGAGCATTACTATTAGTATTCGCATCCGTGCTCGTATTGTTCTGCTTGTTTTTCCTCCTCATCCTCATCCATAGATTGCTCCTCCTCCTCCTGCACCCCCTCCTCCTGCTCTTCCTCCTCCTCCTCCTCATCATCATCATCCTCCTATTCCTCGTCCTCCTCATCATCATCATCCTCCTCTTCTTCCTCCTCCTCCTCGTCCTCCTCCTCCATTTTTTCTCCTCCTTCTCGTCCTCCTCCTCATCATCCTCGTCCTCGTCCTCCTTCTCCTCCTCCTCCTCCTCCTCCTCCTCCTCCTCCTCCTCCTCCTCCTCCTCTTCCTCCCCCTCCTCCTCCTCATCATCCTCCTTTTGTGAATCCTTCCTCCCTGTCCCACCCCGAGGCCAGTCGGAAGGGCGGGCCAGGCGTGCTCGACACTTCACTATAATTTATGAGCCTCAAGCTGAAAACGTGGAAACCGCTTCACAGCTGGAGGGCGGGTGATGTTTAACGTGCGGCTCTCGCGTGAGCGCTGCGCGCATGCGCCTTCAAAATTAGCACGAGCTTCACGGATTGAGGGCGGGTAAGTTTCAAAACGTGGCTCGCGCTGTTGCGCCGCGGACACTCTTTCGATAAAAACGTAAGAGAATCACGGGTTTGGGGCGGGCCTTTTTCAAACAGTGGCTCACGCCTTGGCGCCGTGCACACCCGTTTAAGGATTGAGAAGAGTTCGCGATTGAAGGCGGCTCCGCTTCAAAATGTGACTCTCGCCGTCGCGCCACACTCATCCGCTCGAAATTACCCTGCGACATACCCAACCCATCGGCGCCAAGGGATGATACAAGGTGTGCCGACGATAGAACGACAGCAACACTGCAAGAGACGGTACACGGCGGGCGCATGGACGACTTGCAGAACGGAGGTACACGAGGCAAGGAGGCATTGTATTGGGAAGGAGAATCAGAGGGGGTACATCGGGGTTAAAAAAAAACATCACCTCGGCGGAAACAGCGAAATGATGGAGCACGGGCAAGATATGGCTACAGAGGCGGAGACGCAACCAGCCAATGAAGTGTCGCGTAATTTCATGTCCAAGAGATCAACACCTGCGCGGCCAGCGCTTACCGGTGCTGCGGCGCGTCGGAAAACTAACAGCTCCCATTACTTCTGTAAAAAGCGGTCAGGGCCTAGCTCGCCCGCTAGCCTCCCCGCCTCCTTCCTGGACCTGTATTTGCGAGCACCAAACGCGCGAAGGCGCGCCGCCAGCCTTCGAAAGTGGCGACAGCTTCACATTCCTCCCCCCCCAGAGGGATGGCGAGGTCTTTGAAGGATCTGCGTTGGGCCTCACTGTGCTGGCTCCCCCAGCAGCCCTCGGAAATGGCGACAGCTTCACACTTCGCAGCCCCCCGAGGGATGGCGAGGTCCCGTTTAGGTCTGCGTGGGGCCCCACTGTGTTGGTCCCCCCAGCAGCCCGCGAAAGTAGTGACAATATCACAATTCGCAGCCCCCCCAGGCGTGGCGAGGTTCCGCCCCTCCCCCCAGCAGCCCGCGAAAGTGGCGACAGCTTCGCACTTCGCAGCCACCCCCAGGGATGGCGAGGTCCCGTTTGGGTCTGCGTGGGGCCCCACTGTGATGGTCCACTCCAGCAGCCCTCGAAAGTGGCGACAGCGTCACACCTCGCAGCCCCCAAGAAGGATGCGAGAGGAGAGAGCCGAGAGGAAAGCAGGGAGGGCGGGAGGAGAAGGAGAAAGGAGTCGGCACCCCATTGCTCTATCCAAAATGAAAACCCAACCAAGGGAGGGTTTGGAAAAATACAATAATTTCACAGGTTGAGGGCCGCTCGTTTCAAAAATGTGGCTCTCGCCCCAGCGCCTCGCACATTCGCTTGAAAAATGTGCAGGAATTTCACGGTTTGAGGACGGCTCCTTTCCAAAATGTGGCTTTCGCGGCAGCGCCGCGCAGAATTGTTTGAAAGCTGTGCACGGATTCAACTGACTCGTATGGTTAACGCACCAGGAATGATGTGGTGGAACGATTCAATAGTACCAGGGCGCAAAAGTTACGCTGATTCGCGGTGCTGAAGCCCCGAGAACGTCGTGCCCCTCCCCCATCCTCCACCCCGGCCCTCTCCCCTCACCCCCTCCCCTCGCCCCATCCGACTCCACTCCTCTCCTCAACTTCCCTCCCGCTTCGCAACGCGCTGGGCTTCACTCGAAGAGCCGGCGAACGCGAAGGAAGCGGAAGGGAAGGCAGGGGAGGAGAGGAAAAGGAGGGAGAGGGGGGGGGACTCGATGAGGAGGAGAGAAGTGGTGGAGAATGGGAAGATAGAGGGAGGTAGGGAGGGAGGGAGGGATGAAGATGAGGCGGAGGAAGTGCAGAAGGAGGTGGGAAGGCGGGCGGGAGGGCGGGAGGGAAGAATGGAGGGTCGGATCGGATCGACCAGGCCAACGGGCTTGTCTGGAACCGCAGAGCAATCTGAGAAGGGAGGAAGTCGGGAGGAAGGAAGGGAGAGAGAGGGGGCGGGAGAGACAGGAAGAGAAGCCGCACCAAAAGCAGGAAGAGGCGAACTATGTTTCAGACTCGTCCACCTCGCCGTCCATCTCGCTCAGACGAGTCCGCACCTTGTCGGTGGTCCTAGCCAGAAATCGAATGCCACCCCTTCTCATCATCCTCGTCATCGTGGTCCTCGTCATCAACATCGGCATAGCTATCTGCATCTGCACCATGGCCATGACCACCATGATGATCACCAGAACCCTCCTCCTCCTCCTCCTCCTCCTCCTCCTCCTCCTCCTCCTCCTCCTCCTCCTCCTCCTCCTCCTCCTCCTCCTCCTCCTCCTCCCTCCCTCCTCCTCCTCCTCCTCCTCCTCCTCCTCCTCCTCCTCCTCCTCCTCCTCCTCCTCCTCCTCCTCCTCCTCCTCCTCCTCCTCCTCCTCCTCCTCTCAGTCCTCCCTGCATCGTACCCCCTCCCTCGCTCCTGCTCCCGCTCCCGCCCGAGAAGAGCGGCGTCGACTTGGCAAGCGGAGCGAGCGGGCAGACGGAGGGAGGGAGCCGAGCGAGAGGCGAGCTGAGTGTGCCGATGCGGCAGCGGCTGTGGGGCAATGGAGCCTCCAGAAGATGAAGACGACCAGGGAGAGGCACGAGGTTCGAGGTTCCCAGACCCCCTCGAGTTATGAAAAAATCGCGACGGGAGGTTTTTTATTATTTTTGGCCTCTGGGGGCCCTTACCGGCCCTCGGGACCGTCAAAAAACGACTCAGGACGAAGAACCGGTCCCGGGGAAAGGGTCCAGACCGCTTGGGGTCGACGTCATGAAAAATTCATGACGTCGGGGGTCTGGGGGGAGAGGCACGAGGTTCGAGGTTCGACATGTTCTGCAATTTTTTTGTCTGCTCGCAGCGGTCTCCCGGCCTCTGGGCGCTCTCCAGCAGCTGCGCCTCGCGGAGAGCGCTCTGGGGGTCCGGAGCGGCCCGAGCGGCTGCCGGAGACCCGGGTTACGACCCGTCCAGAGGGCAGAAAATCCACCCCAAGAATCACCACCACGACACGCGAAGCCGTTTCGTAAACGCACCCAGAGGGAATCAGACAGGGCAGGGCTGTCGAGTAGACGCCCACTGGCCGTGTCGTAAACGCCAACTGTCCGGTGCGGGTGGTTTTTCCTCCCAGGACACTGGTCGCGTCGCGCTGGGGCAGAGCTGGGGCTGCCCCAACCCGCAGACTCACCGAGGCCCTTGGCACTGGCGCTCTCGTTCTGCCTGGCTCTGTTCTCCGAGGCTATCTGGGCCTTCGTTGGCGGCGCGCACAAGGGGGCGGAGGGAGGGGGGGGGAGGGGGAGGGAGGGGGAGGGTTCCTCCCATGACTGTCGTCCGACCCGACCAGTCGGGTCAGGCGAAGATGGCGGCGCGCACCAGGAGGGGGGGCGCGGAGGGGCGCGGCCTCCTTATCAGAAGGCCGCGCCCCCTCTGGGACGGCAGGTGGCCTCCCCGCAAGGGCCCGGGGGAGTCGAAGAAGGCGCCCTGGAAGGCTGCAGGGCTCATGAGAAGCCCCTGGCTTCCTAGAAGAGCTCCCGCGCCCTTCTCACGAGGCCGCGCCCCTTCTCGGGCGGCAGGTGGCCTCCCCGGAAGGGCCCCGGGGAGCGCGGAGGAGGCGCCCTCCCAGACCCCCGACGTCATGAATTTTTCATGACGTCGACCCCCAGCGGTCTGGACCCTTTCCCAGGGACCGGTTCTTCGTCCTGAGTCGTTTTTTGACGGTCCCGAGGGCCGGTAAGGGCCCCCAGAGGCCAAAAATAATAAAAAACCACCCGTCGTGATCTTTTCATAACTCGAGGGGGTCTGGGCTGGAAGGCGGCAGGGCTCATGAGAAGCCCCAGGCCTCCTAGAAGAGCTCCCGCGCCCTTCTCACGAGGCCGCGCCCCTTCTCGGACGGCAGGTGGCCTCCCCGGAAGGGCCCCGGGGAGCGCGGAGGAGGCGCCCTCCCAGACCCCCGACGTCATGAATTTTTCATGACGTCGACCCCCAGCGGTCTGGACCCTTTCCCCGGGACCGGTTCTTCGTCCTGAGTCGTTTTTTGACGGTCCCGAGGGCCGGTAAGGGCCCCCAGAGGCCAGAAATAACAAAAAACCTCCCGTCGGGATTTTTTCATAACTCGAGGGGGTCTGGGCTGGAAGGCGGCAGGGCTCATGAGAAGCCCCAGGCCTCCTAGAAGTCTCCCGCGCCCTTCTCACGAGGGCGCGCCCCTTCTCGGACGGCAGGTGGCCTCCCCGGAAGGGCCCCGGGGAGCGCGGAGGAGGCGCCCTCCCAGACCCCCGACGTCATGAATTTTTCATGACGTCGACCCCCAGCGGTCTGGACCCTTTCCCCGGGACCGGTTCTTCGTCCTGAGTCGTTTTTTGACGGTCCCGAGGGCCGGTAAGGGCCCCCAGAGGCCAAAAATAATAAAAAACCACCCGTCGTGATCTTTTCATAACTCGAGGGGGTCTGGGCTGGAAGGCGGCAGGGCTCATGAGAAGCCCCAGGCCTCCTAGAAGAGCTCCCGCGCCCTTCTCACGAGGCCGCGCCCCTTCTCGGACGGCAGGTGGCCTCCCCGGAAGGGCCCCGGGGAGCGCGGAGGAGGCGCCCTCCCAGACCCCCGACGTCATGAATTTTTCATGACGTCGACCCCCAGCGGTCTGGACCCTTTCCCCGGGACCGGTTCTTCGTCCTGAGTCGTTTTTTGACGGTCCCGAGGGCCGGTAAGGGCCCCCAGAGGCCAGAAATAACAAAAAACCTCCCGTCGGGATTTTTTCATAACTCGAGGGGGTCTGGGCTGGAAGGCGGCAGGGCTCGTGAGAAGCCCCAGGCCTCCCGGGAGAGCTCCCGCGCCCTTCTCGCGCGGGCCGCGGAGGGAGGAGGAGGGAGGAGGAGGGAGGAGGAGGGAGGAGGAGGAGGAGGAGGGGAGGGAGGAGGAGGAGGAGGAGGAGGAGGGAGGAGAGGAGAGCCCCCCTCTGCGCGCGCGCCGCCGGGCGGGCGCGCGGCGGCGATCTCGGCGGGCCGGCGCAGCGTGAGCGCAGGGGGGCAACGCCCAGCTCGAACCAAGCCTCCTCCTCCTCCTCCTCCTCCTCCTCCTCCTCCTCCTCCTCCTCCTCCTCCTCCTCCTCCTCCGCCTCCTCCTCCTCCTCCTCCTCCTCCTCTCCTCCTCCTCCTCCTCCTCCTCCTCCTCCTTCCTCCTCCCTCCTCCTCCTCCTCCTCCTCCTCCTCCTCCTCCTCCTCCCTCCTCCTCCTCCTCCTCCTCCTCCTCCTCCTCTCCTCCTCCTCCTCCTCCTCCCCCTCCTCCTCCTCCTCCTCCTCCTCCCCCCTCCTCCTCCTCCTCCGCCTCCTCCTCCTCCTCCTCCTCCTCCTCCTCCTCCTCTCCTCCTCCTCCTCCTCCCTCCTCCTCCTCCTCCTCCTCCTCCTCCTCCTCCTCCTCCTCCTCCTCCTCCTCCTCCTCCTCCTCCCTCCTCCTCCTCCTCCTCCCCCTCCTCCTCCGCAACGCTGCGGATGCCCTTGCTGAAAGGGCCTGGGGAGGCACGAACGAAGGGGCACGAGTTCCCGGATCTCCCATGTGGCCTACAGCTTCTAGACGTTCGTCGTCCACTCCATCTCCCACCGTTTCCCATACGTTCTGGGAAATCGACGATGATTGGTGCCTGTGCCTACTTTCCCACCTGGTTTGTGTGTGCGTGTGCGCGCCCGACACGTGAGGTTCGCGGGAAACTGCGGGCAAAGCGTACCATGGAGCTGGGGACACGCATGGCTGCATCCACGAGCGGGACATCCAGAGGCCACGCGATGGGTACATGCGGAAGCGCGGCCGGAGTATCTGGCCGCGTAGGGCCCGAGCGCGGGAACGACATCTGGCCACATGTCACCGACTCCAGACATTCTGAGCCCAACATGTTGTCATCTTTCGGACGCGCATCGTTGATTTCCGCCGGTTTCCGCTGGCTTTCCGCCGCTCGCGTGTGTATCCAGCTCTCGCCCAGGCCGGCCGCGCCATGTCAAGCTTCCTGGCGAAACCCAACACGAGAATACCACTCGACTTGTTCGAATCGCTAGCCTCGGACTTCCCCAACCCTTTCTGGCGACCGGATTCTCATCCAGGGCAGTTTTTTGACCGCTCTGGGGCCCAGAGACGGCCTTCAGAGGCTGGAAGCTGTGAGAAAACGCCGGCGCTGCTTGCTCGATTGGACAGAAGCATGGATAGGGCACTGCCAGGCGTCCAGAAGCCCAAGTGGGAAAAACCTCCTGAAGACCCAGAGACAGAGAGAACGCGCCAAGCCCTGATCCTCGAAGCTCGGCCATCAACCATCGACCCTCCCGCTCCTGGGATGCCCCCCCATGGCTCCCAGAGTCTTGTTGGCCCGCGGCCGTCGGAGATCCAAACGGCGGTAAAGCGGCGGCGGGATGCGCCGAAGCACAGCGGGGAGAGAGGGGTCGGAGGGCACGCGGGAGGGAGGCCCACTCGGACCGTGAAAGCCGGCGTGTGCGTGCCGAGGAGCAAGGCCGAGCAGCGCGTGGGGTAGCGGAGGGCCCGGCTCCCAGACAATCCGACGCCTCGATCTGCGTTGACGAGAGGGCCCCTAGGCCTCTCGATCCCTTCCCCGGGGCTGGCTGGCCACCCCGAGCCGGTTTTGGTGACGGCCCCTCTGGCCCGAACCCGACCTCTGGGGACCAACAACAGCGACAGCCCGGCCGCCTCGATCTCTTGCAGCACCGGATCCCGGGATGAGGAAGGCCAGAAGGGAGGGACTGACGGAAATGGGCCCCCGACGGGGAAATCCCACACCCCCGGGCAGGCTCCATCCGCAGCGCTGCGGAGGAGGAGGGGGAGGAGGGGGAGGAGGAGGAGGAGGAGGAGGAGGAGGAGGAGGAGGAGGAGGAGGAGGAGGAGGAGGAGGAGGAGGAGGAGGAGGCGGGCAGGCTCCATCCACGAGGAACGGGCGACTGAGGGGTCGATGCCTCCCCACTTGACCCAATCCACCCCTGTCGGCGCACACGACACTGGGCCCCCGAAACAGAGGTGAATGCCCCAGAGAGAGAGAGGAGGAGGGGGAGGGAGGAGGGGGAGGAGGAGGAGGAGGAGGGAGGAGGAGGAGGAGGAGGAGGAGGAGGAGGC